GGTGAAGTGAGGTTACACTCCTCCAGGACTTGGTGGATTCCAATAAAGAGATTTTTGGTTGGCAGTTTTGGATATATTCGCCTTAACTTTTGCTTAAGTTTTGATGAGAAGATCCTCCCTCCCCTCCCTGCAATCTCTGTACCACAGGGATGATGGTCCTTCTCTAATTTGCCGAGGTATTAAAGACGCATAAGATGGGGAGACACGCAAGATACTACCGTGTTAATAGCCATTCAAATACATAAGAATGACTTCTGGTTTACAGCCTCTATCCTTTTAAAGCACACAAAAAGATTTTAAACTGAGTCTTGGGTCTTTAATTTGAAAATACAGTGTTCTCTTATCTCTAGATTTTAACCAATTTGGATTGTTTCACAAAAAGGCAACTACAATTCTTCATTAACATCTACATCAAAACTACAAATCTGCTTTCAGTTGGCATCCTTCCAAAATAATCCAAAAGCTAACTTTAATAGTGTTTTTTACTTAGAAAGAAGAGAAAATGTGTCAAGTAAAATCTTTTCCAAAAACTGACAAAGGGCACAATTAATCCTTTCATCCCCCTCTGCTGCAACTGCTGATACTTTAGATAATATAAAAACAGCATAACAATATTAATTTACACGTTATAATTATTTTGCTTTGCAAAAGTTTCTATCAAATTGTTCAGATGGCAGTTAAGGATCAGGTGGTCAGTAAAATTAGAGATGTTTTGTTCTCTTATGTGCCTTATACACAATACCGTTTCCTATGTTTCCTTCAACCCCAATCCAAAGCCAGACGTTTACAGGAGTACTTGCCGCATCTTTTGGATGCAATTCCAGCTCAGTCCTTTCTTTTACCGTTGTAATAGTTTGGTCTTTATTTTATTTTGTTTTTTCCTCTCAGGGTACTATCTTTACTCAATCTGCTCCCTGGTCAGTTCTCAATATGAATGCTGATCTAGGAATGAACTTATCTCTAGACTTTCGCTTTACAAAATGACTTAATATTGCCACAAGTGGTTAGCTCTTTAGGTTCAATAAAAGGATTGAAATTGTTTAGTAGTTTACAGCAATCCTCTAATTGGGTCTCTTCCCTGACAATGTTCTGAGTCTGAATATTAAAGTTTCCTTCTTTTTGCTTAGACAGTCTTACTTCTTTGCTACCCTGCCTGCTCTGCTTAAATATGCTGTATAACCAAATATCTATATGCTAATTCATTTCCAGTCTGTTCTCTATCCAGGCACACCCAGACCTCAATTATACCTCAGCCAAATTCTCTTTCCAGTTGCTTAGCATTTGCCAAGGTTTTTTCACTTTTTCATCTGACTCCACCCCATCCACCTCAGCACTTAAAAGGGAAATGGCAGTTGTGTTCTTTGCTTCTTAAATGGGTAATGTCAAATTTCTACTATATTCTTAATATTTAGACCACGATGTTAAAAAAAAAGATCAACTTAGGATGGTTTTGTAAAGTCACAAAAGCAAAAATCATGACAGTATAAATTTTCTATATTTAAGAAACAATACAAAAAAGATGAAACATTTATTTTAGTGCCTATGATGTTACTGTTTAAAAGAGATCATCTTGGGTAAGTTAACTGTGGTTAAAAAAAAGACACTGCAGTTACCATGCTGATAAATGTTAAATCTTTTTGTTGGATTCAGTAACAGATTTGCAATTTGAGAATTTGTTGACATTAAAACTATACGCAACGTTTTTGTGAAAGATGTGAATTTAGATCATTTCTAATACTTCTTGCATTGTGACTTCCAATAATCCTTTATTGGACTATAATTCCTCCTCAATTTTCAAATATGTACTTCTATTATATACGTAATAACTAGTTATTGAAGTTCTCTTCCACAAGAACCACCTGAATGGCTGTATGCTTAGTCCATGGCCTGTATCTACTTTTGTTTTCATGCTGAAAGATAAAGTTGTTCTTTTTAAGGAGCAAGGAAGTCAGCCACATCATAATCTATTCCACTCCATAATTCAAGGCATGGTCATAATGAACTCTTGTGATGGGGACCTACCTAATTCATGGAGGCTGCCTCAGAATTCTGCAGTCCCGGCACAGTGCCTGGTACCTTTTTCCCCAATGGAGTGCGGTGCCCTCCCCTCCCCCGACCTAAATGGCCAAGGGGCCCCAGAAGTTCTGCCCCTCCCCAGAGACTGACAGGTGGCCACCTGACTCTCTGGGGAGGGGCAGGACTTCTGGGGCCCTTTGGCCAGAGGCATGCCCCCTCCCCACTCCCAGTGCATCAGGACAGCAAGACTTCCCTCCTCTGCTTGCACCCCCCTTTCCCTTGCATTTTTTATGGGAACTGGGCTCTTTCATGGGGGATCTACCAAATTTTTGGTTTCCGCAAATCACAAAATTGGTAATTTGGTAGGTCCCTAATCATGCATTTTTTTTAGCACTAGCCAAATAGACAGGTTTTGAAACTTTTATGGAACAAAAGCTGAACAGGAATTTATGAAGTGGTAGAGCCTTCAAATACTTACCGGTTATCTATTTTTTTTGCAATGAGACCCCACCAAAAAAATCTGCAACACAAGTATTCAGAAACTTGCTATATTAGTCAGACTTAAACTAACACATGACAGCTCACCTGCAGGAGAAACATGAGGACAGCTGCTCATTTTTAACAATCTTAGTGTATCGCTGTTGTTAGCCACCAATACTTTAAGGGATGGGTCATCTACAGGTGTATCATCTATCTTAAGTGATGAGAGAGATTTGGAGTTTACAAACACCACCGTCAGTGCAGAAATAAAGTGTGACTGTAAAAAGGAGAAAAACAGTTAGTGAAACATGATTCATTCTAAATTCATTTTCCAAAGACTGGGATTTTTAGACCTTCATAGAATGAATACTTCTTCCTTTAGTTGTACGCAACTCCTACTACAACATTCAACTTAATTTTGCCTATTTTAATTCAACAGATAAAGACTAGAACTGGATACTGTGGGGATTGTTGTTGTTTTTACCATGAACATTGTTTTTGCCATCAGCTATATATGTAGGTATTATTGATAACCGGGACATAGAACATGCACCACACTAAAGGAAAGCATCTTGTACAAGTGGCAAAACTGAAATAGTAAATTTAAAAGCTCTAATAAGCTCTGAGGATTACTTGTAAAGTGTGCTTTCAAGGCAACAATCTTTAAAGCTTCATATGTGAAAGGAAACTAATACAATAAATATATCTATTTTAATAAGAAGGTTAAGTTTTACTTCTGCAATAAACAGGTAGATGCAATTTTAGATGTTTAGGAATGGGGAAATTTAGTTTCCATTAAAACAACCACCCTGGTCTATCTAGTTTTATTCCAAATAGGATTTAAATTTTCTTAACACAACTTGGTTCATGACCATCTTCTGAGAAAAACTGTATCCTCTTTAAAAATACTTTTTCAGTGTCTTCAAAAAGTATTAAAAAATTGTCTTTTTCTTATTTAGCAACAAGTACATGTACACATGTAAAACATTAATTAGCAAATATTTATCAAAAACATCTATCAAATAAAATCTTCAGTTTTATTTTATTCTACTTAAGAATTCAGTACTTGAATAGGCTCTAAAATACCCAATAAATAATACAAGGTGCTAGCACTCCCCAGGAAGTAGAATGAAGCCCAAAAGTTTTGAAAAACATAAATGAAGTGTTAGTACTCTAAGAACTCCTCAAGGAAAACAGGTATTACATATAATAAAGATACAAAATCCACTCATTAAGCTAAACTAATTTTAAAAGTATAGTTCACGATATAGCAGTGGAATATAAACTTCTATTAGCCTAGATCAGTGATCCTCAACCAGGGTGTTGCAACACCCTGCCTCACGTTCCTTTTAAAGATGTTGCACAATATTGGCACTGTTAGGTGTGCAACCTAACATGACTCACAAGATAAACCCAGAGATTTCAATCAGAAATCCATAGTGTTAAAAACTGGCCTGTTTCCTCATAGAAAAGTAATGTCTGTATGCAGCCTAACAGCCTGCATTTTCCAAGAGGTGCCCCAAGTCTAACAAGGCTGAGAAACACTGGCCTAGATGCATCAGATGAAATTAACCTTTCTTTGTTCCCCTTTCAAGGCAGGTAAGTAGTGGACCTAAAACATAGTCTACTGTGCCATTTATTTTGTTTTGGTAAAGATTACAAATATCTGCTACTCTTATTTATCAACCCCTTTTTGTTAACAATTATACTTCACCATTTCCTTCCATCAACTCTCTAGTTTAGAAAATTATTCCCATCAAAAGTGGTATCAGCCACACACACGCACAAATCTCTTCCCCCATTTTCTAATTAGTTCAGTACCTTAAATCAAGTCAATCTAAAACAAAGTGTAGAGAGGAGTCCTGAATACAATTACCTAATTACCCGTGTCAAGTAGAAAGCTTTCATAGTTAATTAACTGCTGTATAATTCAAACTTTTATTTAAATACAAAAACACCCTAACGCATACAATTGTGCAGGCAACTGTTTATTCCTAAATCTATCCCCAGCAAGGACAGTTTCAGCATCTATTTCTCAGGCTACAGCAGAATGAAAACCAATCAGTCTTCAGTTTCATTCCTACTACTCAGAGCCCTAGGAGCAGCTGTGAAAGACAAGATTCAGGGCAACTGGACTATGCTGTTACAACACCATGAACAAGAGAGCCAGAAACTAGGGCTATTTACTGAGGAGAAAAACCAACAAGAGACCTGGTATGATTAACTAAAACCCCAACCATCAACCAGCCTGTGAGGTACCAGAATTTTTTTTTTTTTTTTAAAGAGACACGGTTTTCCATTTTTCTTAACACTCCCCACCCCCTCCCAAATAAGCTTATGCATGGGTCCTTTCCCACCAACCAGCTTTTTGTTGAGCACTTTTTTAATTTGAAGTTTTCCAAAAAAAAAAATTCTAAAAGAATGGATACTTTCAGCCCAAACAGTAAGGGAAGTTATAAGTAAATGAAAATAGAAGATTAAAATAAAACTCAGGCAGCTTTAAGTTATAGGCTTTAACATTACTGAACAATATATCCATGCAAAAGAAGCAGGGGTCTTTAACAATTATTTCTGCTAGACATCTAGAAAGGAGTGCAACAGTCAGAACATAATACTTTCTACTTATCAAGGAGAAAGTTAAAAAGTAGCTCCAAGTAAAACATTTTAATCTATAAGAATAAATAATACGAGCCTAAGTTTTAAAATAATTAGCTGATTAAGAAAACTGATATTGGAATTTAACAAGTTTTGAAATACTAGAAAAGAAGGATTGGTAAGAGTTAATATGCAAATATAGAGGAATAATACAATTGCTTGGGCAAATACAGACTAGTCAGCTTGACTAATCCCAGATGAAGTCATGGAGAAAATAAAATTTATTTAGTGAAAAATTAAGGAACTGTACATATGTGATGTTTTAGAAAGCATTTGGACATTACTTTTGCACAACCTGATATAATTTGATATTAGAAGTTTAGCCAAACAGCAACTATGCTGACATTAAAAACTTAGTTCTGTAAAGTCATCTGACTTGCATCTCTTTTTTACTTAACACATTCTGATGAAAATTGTGTAATAATTGAATTAAAAATGGTTAGCTGTTAAATTGAGAAATAAGTGCGTCTTCTTCATTCAACAGAGCTAACTTCTGTTTCCTACAAGGATCTATTTGTGACCACATGCTGTTCCAAAGTTTTTACCAACAATATGAAAACTATATGGAGTAAAATTCCTAGTAGTTTGCAGATGACAAAAATTAAGCATGTGCACAAGCCACATCAGGGGAACAGTCCAAAATATTTGGTAAGCCAGGCTCATTTGAACATGTGTTTTAATGCAGCCAACTTAGGTTACGAAAAAAGAAGATTGAGCATATTTACTGATTGGGGTGTATAATGGATTTTTAAGTAAACGTAAGTTCCCAGGAGAAAACACCAGGTCCAAGAGCTGCAGCAATCCTTTAATGTGCTGGCTACAGAAGAAAAAGAGTACATCTACAGTGACAAAGTACTAACATGTATATACTGCTTTAGTGACACCACTACTGCAATGGTAGGTCCAGCTCTGGTGTCCACACTGGAAGACTGGAATGGTCCAAGAGAACTACAAAACATAATTTAGGTATGGGAAAAATATCTTATACTGAAAGACTAAAGAATTCTTCAAATGAACACATGATGTGACTCTATTCACTATCTGCAAGTACCAATATAATGAGATTTCAGATTGTCTTGTAAACAGCCCTGCACTAAGACACCGCAAAATCTGACCACTACAAGGTGAAACTACATAGATTCACCCTAAAACTAAATATGTAAAATTTTAAAAAGGGAGAGTAATTAGCCATTGGATATGACAGTTTCCCCATTATTTTATGCGCTTGATGGATCACTGCATTACTGAATGAATTCACTGCATACATTCTGCAGATGATCAGAGTAAATGATTATCAGGGACGCTGGTTTTCTCTGACAAAAAACTCCACAATTTTCAGATTTAAAAAGGTTACCCAAAATCTATATTCTTTTATGATTAAAATGAAACACCACTAATACAGAGAGAGAGAGAGAGAGAGAGAGAGAGAGAGAGAGAGAGAGAGAGAGAGAGAGATTTCATTTCTATCGTGTAAAAATGGGTTACTTTTTTTAATCTGAAAATTGGGGATTTTTTTTTTTAAATAAAAAAAAACACAGGATCCCTAATGATTATAATAGCCTCTACTTATATTTAAACAAGCAGAGTTTAAAATGAGGTGTGTAATTAAGTGTGCATAGTTCCTCCAGACTCTTGACTAGCACTATGGCCCCATATACTCTCTCTAAGGTTTACACTGAAGCCAATATATATTTGTCAAATAATCAGAAGAGTTGGTCAGTATTTGAAATACAGAGTCAGGCCCAGTAGCAAGTTTAGATTCTGCAATTTTAAGTTCCCAGTAAAAGACAAAGGTTACAAAGAACTTGCTACTTGCAAACCACTGATTTCTCATCTCCAAATTTTGTCTTAAATGATATCAGTCCATACCAATCACTGCAGTAGTTACACATATAAATTAAACATGTCAGATCCACCTTTGGTAAATCCAAAAAGCTTGGTCGAGCAGTTGAAATTAGTCCAAGTGTTTTGAGAGAGCAATTCACAAGTTGTGATAAAATATCACAAGCTGCTTCTGCTGATTCCTTGCTGCTGTCCACCTTAAAAAAAAAAAAGGAACATTTATTAAGTCAGAAAAAACCTACATTAAAAACAACAAGCTTTGCAAAGAAGAGGTCAAATAGCATAGCTATATTTTAATAATAGTGGTTCTTTGAAAAGCAAGTGAATTTCCACTGTGGCTTCTATTTGCATACCTTGCTAATTAAACAAACTGAATGTATTCAATGCAAACAGATACTCATCAAAAAAACAAAACACAAAAGACCTCAAGATGCTTTGCCACCACTTGAAAAAAGCATTAGTTAATAAAGCATCCTGATCAGCTCATCCTCCTAAGATACCCAACCAACACCATGTTACAAACTACCCAAATCTTACTTAGCCTCAGATTCAATCCCATTTTTCCCCTCTATATTCCTTTCCTTACCGAATGCCAGGGAAATAGTTGTTCCTTACATCCTGGCATGCAATTCTGTAGATACAGGGCAAAACAGGAAGAGGATCCTTCATCAGGCATACTCTGGCTGTTCTTTCCCATAAACAGGGACCTATCAAAATTGCAACTGTGTGATTTTTACGGAAACTACGATTCTGGGCAGCCTCTGTAAAGAAGTGCAAGCTCCATGCCTCTGGTGGGCTTGCTGGAAAAAAAGAGCAAACCAACAAAGAAAAAAAGTGTGTAGGAAGCCTTACAGTCTTGGAGCATGGCAGGTGGGACAGTGGGCAGAGGCAAGCTTGCCCCCAACCTCCTTTTCATTTTGTCATTTTGCATAATCCTACCTCCTTTCCATAGCTCCAAAACTTCATCCGCATATCCCCACCTCCAATCCTACTCTCCCACTCCTTTCCACCTCTCATTCCATCATTTATATAAACCTGTGTTCTATCCACCCCCTCCTTCTCTCTTTGGAAGTCACTTGGCAAATACTGGAATGAGGAAGGAGGGAGGCAATATCCCACCCCCTGTACAGACAGCCCCACTCCAGCCCCCTCTTCCCAACCTCCTCTCCCCCTCCCATGCTTCAAGATTGTAGGGCTTCCCACACACCTTTCTCCTTGCCCATAAGTTCTTTGTTTTTTATTATTTTGCAGTGAGCCAGCCACTTGGGGATAGCCTGAAACCATGGCTTAATTACCCTGATTAAGCCCAGGGAAACCATTAATCTGTATTTAATAACATGTAGATTAATGGCTTCCCTGGGCTTAAATCAGGGTAATTAAAACATTTTTCAAGCTATGTGTGGGGAGGGGTGAGACTGCTGGGGCCCCTCAGCCAGAGGCAGGGGGTGAGGGTGTGTTGTTTTTCTGATGAGTTATCTGTTTGCTACACTCATCCTGCATATATGGCTCCCCACCCCAAGATCTGTCTGTGAAACCGGCCAGCCGCCTTGAGTTCAGTAGACCCCTACCCATAAATACCAGAGAATAGTCAACTTAAGCAACTCTGCTGATCTCAACTGGTAAACAACACACTGGGGAAAATGCTTCCCTTCAAGTAGACATCCAAAAAAATAGAGCTATTGGTTCCAAAATGATACCTTTTATTAGACCAACTGGTAAATTGCAAGAAAACTGTCCTTTTCTGCAACCTTGCGGGATCAAAGTCCCTTCATCAGGCTCTGGGAAAAGTATAGATGGTACAAGATGGTAAAGAGTCCCCACAGGTAGGAAATAAACTTCATTTTTGCACAGAGGGAGCTGAAGATGGAAGGCTGTCTCCCTCTGGGTCCATGAGAGTGTCTTTTGCTACCAAGTACACTCCCTTCAACTAGACACTTGCCAGGATTGAGGACTGTACACTGAAAGCCCATGTCTTAAATACTATCTAAAAGCCAACTGGCAATTGGCAATCGCGAAAAATACTGGTGTCTTATCAACAGGGGTCCTGTTTTTCCCTAATAAAAAAATCCCCAATTTTCAGCTTAAAAAAAAAGTAGCCCAAAATCCACATCTTTCCATGATTAAAATGAAACACCACCACTATATTTACATGTGCTGCAGCCAGACTACTAGTGGTACCCAAACTAACCAGTTTAAAGCTAAATGCACAGAGAAGCAAACCTGTAGATTAAGAACATGAAATCTTATTTGTGTCTCTTTAGAGACAGCTTACATGTTAATTTACAAATTTCACTGGCAGACAGACTTGGAAACATGCTAGTCACTACTGACCTGTCTGAGATGCAAATATCTACAAGTGAAGTGTAAGGTACAGCTTCAGAAGGTAAAAAGTTAGAGAGGATAATGGACCAAGTTAGGTTTACACAGAGATACCCTATGCTCTTGGTTAAAGCAGCAACAGGTGTCTCTCACAAGCTCATGCATTTTCAAGTCATATTGGTTGGCCCACAGTTACCTAGCAATTACTAGGGTGAAAATTTATATTACAAAGTTTGTTGGTGGTTGTGGAGGGAAGCATTCTGTGCAGAAAGACTAGGAAGAAAAGGAATAGACCATTAGAAGGAATTGTCAGCCATGCTGTGCTCTTTCACTGCACTTCCTGACTGTAGTTATCTCAGCTCACAAGCCTTCACAATTTTATTTTAAACAGTTCGTCTAGGACAGCATTTCTCAAAATGTGGGTTACAAGAATAAACGAAAGGGTCGCAAACAAACTGAATTCTCCTTTAAACGAGAAAAACATAGGAAACCGTGGGTTTTCCCCTACAGGCTGGCAGAATTCCAGCCTGCGAGGGGCTGCTTGGGGGCCCCCCTGCCTCACATACCCATCCTCCTGCTCCATACACTAGATGTCTGGGGGCAGTGGGTCAGGAGTGAGGAGCACCAACAGGGCCAGGGGGCTGTTTTCTACTTAAATTATTTACTGGGTTACGACTGGCCACTATGGGTCAACAAATGGGTCCTGGTACAAAAAAAAGTTGAAAACCACTGATCTAGGAGATTCTTTCCAGTTTAATTATTAAATTGATATTATTTTTTTAGGTCTCCTAATATTCCTTTGGCCTAAAAATTGCTTCAGTTACTCTGAAAGCAAAAAAATGTTTCTGCAAAACCTGAAAACAAAATTCAAACTCAGTTACTGATCACTTAAAAAGCCTAAAACCCCCCAAAGTTAGCTAAAAAAAGGGGGGAGGGGAGGGATGTTTCATTATTTCAGCTTATTTTTCATACTGAAGGTTAGCTACATTTCCTTTTCAAGACATCTCCCATCATAGCTCCCATATATGGTCTTTCCCAGACTATGTAAAAGCATGTTTACTAGTTAATTTGAAACTGATACTTGACAAAACAGCAGCAAATAAGCAGAGGCCAGACAGGCCTATATGTTTCTGGTGACTACTCAGCTCCCCAGAATGTCTTTATTAACATAGGAAGCTTTTTAAAAGTTTCTAATTAAGAATATTGTAGCAAGAGACATTATTCAGTTTTTTGTCCTAGCAATGTCTCTTACATGACCCATCTAACTTATGGAGTCACTGTTTGATTATTTGTGGTGTACCAGGGAGCTTTACTGCAGATGGAGCAAAGACCAATCAAGGGAGCCAAATGACCCAAAATGGGCTGGGCTTGCAGGAGCACTACACATCCTCTGCCAGCAGAATGGGGTCAG